TTAGGTTTTGAAATTAAACGAGATTATATATCGGTCAGGATTTACAAAAGAGTGGTTAGTGATTAAATTTAATAATTAAATGAGTTTAATTTTTTTATTATGTGGCGAATTCTGATTAGTTATAATAAAAGGGGGTGAATAAAAGGATTTATCCCTAGGGGTGAACCCAAGTATTGCTCATTTTATAAGCATTATGAACCGTGTACCTTTTGAAACGAGCCTTTGAACTTAACTTATTAGGGTTGATTTTTTAATGTATTAGGCCCATATTTGTGAAATGTGAGGCCCAATAGAGAAAACCAGCAAAATGAGTTTTTTTTTTCATTGTAATAGATTCTCCAATCGCATTGTGACACTTGTACGCCTCTCTTAATTTCTCAAAACTCTCTTTGGATAGTCGATTCTCTGTTGTATTATCAGTTTTGATTTATTTTTTTGGCAATTAAACATGAGAATCCATCAAATTTATGAAGAGAACCTCCCTATGGAGGGGACTAATCTCTGGAGCTCCTCAAGCATGACTTAATGATCTATCTACTCTCCAAAATTATGTCATACTCTTACACTCATAATGAAAGTTTGAAACCCATGTTTACCCTTACTAAACGGACCAATCAAAAGAGAGAGATTTTTGACCAATCAAAACAGAGAGATTTTGGACCAATCAAAACAAAGAGATTTTCGACCAATCACAAACGAGCTCATGTATTCATCGGGACAAATCCAATCTAAAACTCAAAATCACCACGCCGTCGTCGTCTTCACCTCGTCGCCGTTCTTCCACCATTGAAAGTGAAGCTTTAATCTCTAGGTTAGTTCCTATTCTCTTCTTCCACTTCTAACAATGAGTCTTTAGTTTATTTTGGTATTGTATTTGAAATTTGGAGATTTCTATTAGATTTGATAGGGTGGTGTTGGTAATTAATAGACATTGTGTTGGTAACTATGTATTATGGGTCGATTAAGACACTTTAATGGACTGTAGTGGTTGATTCGTTGTTAATTAACCGTAGGTAGATTAGTGTTTTTGGTCCGAGAATCGATTTGCAAATAGAGTAGAATATGTAAACCTGGGTATAACTGAAAAACGTGGTATAACTGTTTGAAGTAGTATATTTGGTATTTTTGAGAAAACCTGGGTATAACTGAAAAACGTGGTATAACTGTTTGAAGTAGTATCTCTGGTATTTTTGAGAAAATCTGGGTATAACTGTGACACGTGGTATAACTGTGACACGTGGTATAAGTATTTGAAGTAGTACTATATCTGGTATTTTTGAGAAAACCAGGGTATAACTAAGAAACGTGGTATAAGAGCAACCCCAATGGGAGACTCTTCATAGATTTCTTAGTACAAAAATATTGAAAAAAATAGAAAAGTAGGAGAGTGAAGTAAAAAACTCTAGACATAGTTTCTTATTTAAGGATTTTCAGAATCTCATAAGAGACATTTGAAGGTGGTTTATCTTATTTTCATAACTAAAATTTAATTCAATAATTTAATTCTATAAAAATATTAATATTTTAGTTTTTAGAAACTCAAATTAGATCTATCACCATTGGGGTTGCTCTAACTATTTGAAGTAGTATATCTGATATTTCTGAGGTAACTGTTGAAGTGGTATAACTGGTAATATTGGTATAACTGTTAATGTATTTTTTTTTCCAGGAGATTGAGCAACCTTCCAATTAAAATACATTTTGATTATGATGGATATTATTCAAAAACCGGATATGCATATAAATAGAATCCAAGGGTACCTGGCTTGTACGGTCTATTGTTTAGGACATCATCAATGGAGGAGATAACTTATTCGCGGTTAGTAGATAAGATATGCATGAAGATGAGGATAGATGAATATACAACAAAGGTGAAATTGAGTTACATTCCATCGGGAGTTCAACCTCCTACATATTCATATATTTAGAATGATGATGATGTATATGTTTATCTAATAACGTTGGATAAAGAGAAAAGAAGTGTTTTGCATGTAGAAGTCAGTAATGAGTTGAAAATGGTTCTGCTAAACGAGCAAGAGTCGAGAGTACAGAGAAAAAGTTCAGTTGGTGTGAATTTTGTTGAGCAGATTTCCGATGGTATAGATAATGATAGAGCTAATGTTGATGCCGTAACTCTTTACGCAAACGAGCCACTAGCAGAACAACTTTCTGAGCCTTTGAAGCCACTAGAAAGTGTTGTTATCGGAGATGTGGAAAATGGTGTTGATAACAATATGGAAAGAAGTATGGAGAATGATGGTATTCGTGAATATGTTGAGAAGCCACGTGCAAGCCAAAACACTAAGCATGATGATATGGATAATGATGAAGCCACGTACGAGCTACAAGGGCTAAGGATTCAACTCGATTCTCGGTTCAAACATATAAGAAGATGAAGATATGCTCTCGGTCAACTACTGCTACGGGCATCCAAAAGAGAGGCACACCACATTTAGTTGTATCCGTATTGCATGATGATTATCCAGGTCAATTCAAGACCACAGATCCTAAAATTCTCATTGGTCTTGTCCAGGGAAAACTTGATACAAAAGTGTCATACTCGATTGCTTAGAGTTGAAAAAAAAACTAGCTATTAGTGATATTCGTGGTAGTCCAGTCGAGAATTTCAAGATGATTTATTCTTATTTGTATATGTTAAAGAAGGTGAATCCTGGTACAAAAACTAGTGTGGTATTAGATGAAGAAAAAGGATTCAAGTACCTATTTGTCGCTTTGGGGCCTGCCATTGAAGGGTTTAAAGTCATGAGGAAAGTGAGTATTGTGGATGCAATATTTTTGAAGACTGTACATCGTGTGCTAAGTTTTGCCACAGCTCAAGATCCAAATCATCACCTTTATCCCTTAGCATTTGTTGTATCTGATGGTGAAAAAGATGTTAGTTGGAAGTGGTTTTTGGAAACTTTGAAAACCGGCATACCGGATAATCTTGAATTGGTCTTCATGTCTGATAGAAATCAAAGCCTCATCAAGTCAGTGGCTGAGGTGTACCCGAGCTCTCACCATGGAAACTGTATTTATCATTTGTAACAGAATGTGACAAATAAAAGTTACACACAACAGAGAAGACGTTGCTAAAAAATTTAGGAAAATTGCAGCCATTTGTACAGTTTCTGAGTTTGAGAATGAATATGCAGATTTCAGAAGAAGGTACCCTAAGATAGTCACATATCTTGATGATCATACCGATTTGGAAAAATGGGCATTCCTGGAGTAAAGTACAACATAGACACCAGTAATGCGGTTGAATCTATGAATGATGTTTTTAGCAACGTGAGGGGGTATGCGCTGTTACCTATGATAGATTCAACTATTGAAAAATTTACAGAATGGTTCTGCAATAATGGGACAGAAGCCATAAGTGGATTAAATGCACAGAAACTAGTTCCTTTTGTGGAGAACGACATACATGATACATGTGAGGTTGCAAACAAATTAACGGTGAAGGAGCTTTAGACCTACGAGCTTCAATATAGTGTCATTGGTCGCGATGGTAAGACCTATGTGGTGGATTTGAGGAATAAAACTTGTTATTGCCGTCGTTTTGACTTGGACAAATATCCTTATGTACATGCAATAGCCGCTACGATGACTCACTTGAAACAAGAAAATATATCATCGGAGGTACGTAGTTTATATGATTTGTGCACGAAATATTACTTTGTCGAGCTCTGGGTTATGGCATATGTTAGAACGATTTTCCCAGTGCCGCATAGGTCTGAGTGGGTTATTCCAAGTGAAATCCAAGAATTGTACGTATTACCCCCGGTTCATGTTGTAAGAAAGGGTAGAATTCAAGAAACTAAATATCCATCGGTTGGGAAACGTCGCCAAAAGAGTAAGCGTGTGGAAGGCAGAAATTTGGAGAGCTTGTTTCCAGACCGGGAAGGTGGAAACCAGGGAGGTGGCCAAGATTAATGTATTCAGTGTCATTTGTCTCTGATTTTGTGTTTTTATGTATTCATTGGTTTTGTAAAACTTGGTTTGGACTTAATTCTTCTTATTCCTCGTCAGGATAGGACTCCGATACACAACGGTGGTAGACCCCTTCTTCGCATTCTTTTTTATCAACTTCAGCTTCTTAGTGTCCTCTTGCCTTGGTTTCATCAACATTGTCATGAGCTTTTTCCCCTTGTTCTTTTGGATCCACTTATTTTCGCTATTTCTTTTTCTCTTTTCATATCTCTTGTAAGTCCTTTTCATCATCTTCTCATTGTTACTTGGCTAATCATCTTTTCCAATCTCTTTCTCTTTCTCTCCACCCTCACTCCCCTTAGTACCACCATCCACATCACCCTCTTTTTCAATCTCCACTCCTTCTCTGACCTCACCGGGAAAAGGGGATTTTCATACCCGTACTATCGGGACCGTAGATTTTTATACCTCGACATTTTTGTAGTGTATTTTCCAATCCAAACTGAAATAAAATTTGAATTTCATACATGTATTTGATAAAACGTGCAAAATACAGAGTCAATCTAACGGGTGTTAGTCAACTCCGTTACGGTGCTAAGTCATCGTACACGTGTACGCTGACGTGTATCCAAAACGACGTCGTTTTGATAATTGTTCTCAAAAGTTTAAATTTTTTGCAAAATTGGGGTTTCAAACTCGTGTGCCTCAGCTACTCAACGAGCACCCTATACCAATTCATCCCACAACTCTAATCGAACATTTTTAAATCATTTTAAGTTATAAACCTTGAATATTTTGTGTTTTCAAATTAATCAAACGACGTCATTTTCAATTGGGGGAAAAATAAGAATTCTAGGGTTTCGAATTGAGAATCTGATTTCTCATTTCTTCTTTTTCTTCTCCAAAATTAGAGTGAAGATAGAGGAGAAAATCGCATAACAGAGAGCTAAAGAGAAATTGGAGCAGAAGAAATCGTCATTTTGCTAGCAGGTAATTATGTCTTCCTCGAGCTTCGATTTAATGAAGAAATGAGGCTGAATTGGTGAAATTTGATGGGTAGTTGTGAAATGGGTGATCGATTAAGAGGATTTCCTAAGAAGTGTCGGTGTGGAGAACCTATAGTGATGAAGACGTCAAACACTGCTAGAAACCCTGGAAGATTGTTTCATGCTTGTCCTTTTGGAGAAAATGTAAGTGGCTAAATTCTGGAAATTGTTGTGTTTTTGTGTCATATAAGATATGCATTTAGCTTGGTGTGACAGGATAATAGGTATCATGTGTTCAAATGGATGGATTTTTGTATGGTGCAAGAGATAGAAGACTTGATAGAGAAAGTTGATAACTTAGAAGGAACTTCGATTACAATGCAAAAAAGCTTCAATGCGTGTGAATCAGAGATTGACAATCTGACGATGGAGATGCATGTGTGTGAGGCTGTGATTGAAAAAGAAGTTGCAGAGTTGAAAATTCAGTTCCGTAGCTTGAAGAATATCGTGGTGTTTGCTTTGGTGTTGATTTTCTTTTTCAGGTTTATATTTTAAATCTATATGTATTGTAGTGAATGAATGATGTGGTTTTGTACTATAAGAATGATGTGTTTTGAATTATGAGAATCTATATGTATGAATGATGTTTGTGTTTGGGTTTGTGTAATGATTGAGAAGAAAAAGAAATCATATTGTCTTGAAAAGCATATTGTTTTGAAGAAGACATGAAAACAAAACACAAAACAGATCATAGTCTTGCCAAAAGCATACATAGTAAAGAGATCATAATGTCTTGCCATTTAATCCGATCCGATCAGCCTAAACAAAAACCAACTTAATCTGATCATTTTAGAACCAAAAAAATCCATGATCCGATTAAGCAAAAGCCTACCCCGATTAGTCTTATGTTGCTTGACTTGCTTGTATTGCTTGACTTGCTTGTATTGCTTGACTTGCTTGAGTGTTATTGGTCTCATATCCATCTTCTCCATCTTCTATGGCAGGTGTCTTCTTCTTCCTTGGTGGTTTGTATCTCTCAACTCCTCCATTAGGACACTTTTTTGTTGTGTCCAACATGATCACAGAGAGCACAATGCATAATTCTTCTCTCTCTACTAGCCTTCTTCTTCTTAGTAGGAGACTCATGCCTTGCTTTCTTCCTCTTTGGCTTTGGTTTCCTCCCTTTTCTGTTTTCAATCTACTCAACTAAGCTAGGAGGTGGCACCACAACAGAACCTGATTTATTCCAAAATAACAAACCATTGACTGGTTCAATGGTGTCACTGTAAATACACTGCTGCCTGAAATTCAAATACCATTCAGATATGAAATCTTCACGATTGAGTGATTTCTTCTCTGTGATGACCCGCAAAGCATGGCGACATGGAATTCCACTCATATCCCATCTCGTGCATACACATGTTCTCAGGCTAAGATTCACACTATGACTTACACCACCTTCAAGAACATCAAATTTACCATCTCTACTTGAGACAAATCTACAGAACTTAATCTTCTTTGCTTCTTCCTCTAAGAACTCCATTGCTTTGGGAGTAAATCTGCTGGTATGGTTCTCAGCTTTTGTCTTCCTTATATCAATACGAGCCATGGTTCTTCTCCTTAATGTCTCCAACATCTCAACAAGTGGCATGTATCTTGCTGGATCAATGGCATTGTTGAAAGACTCTGATATGTTGTTGTGGACATCAATACATTGAGTTGTGGGTTGACAGAAAGCTCTACTGCAATTTCGTGGGTTTCTCTCCATGATGGCATCATATAGTCGCAGATCATAAGCTTTCACTGCTTCCAAACTTGCCTCATATTCAGGCCCCGTGTAACTATCTGCTACTCTCCAAAACAGAGTCTTCACTTCACTTTGGTTAGAAAAGACCTTCTTCAAGTTGCCATATATGTGCCTAGCACACATTATGTGCTCAACATGAGGCAAGACTCTCTCTACTGCATTCAGCAAGCCCTGCAAGTTGTAAAACTTGTTGATTAGATAAGATTAAAACATATACAAAAGATAAGATTAGTATATATATACCTTTTGTCTGTCAGATATAACCGTATATCCTTGACCCTCTTGCAGATTAAAATCTTTTTGGAGCTTCTTATGAACCAGGTCCAGTTATCCTCATTCTCCACATCAACAACAGCCCAAGCAAAAGGGTACATACCATTGTCTGCATCTCGTCCAACAGCTGCTAACAGTTGTCCTTTAAGTGTAGACTTAAGGAAGCACCCATCAATCCCAAATATTGGCTGACACCACATTGACCATTGCTTGCGGATTGCAGCAAAACAGACATAGAATCTCTGGAATAACTCAGCTCCATCTTCATTAAAGATTGTGTCTAACTCCACAGTTGACTCATTAGACCTGAAAAAGGAAAAACAGTTAGTAGGTTAGATATAAGCAGTACATAAAGAAAATAAAAAAGGCAAAGACTTTCGAAAGGATTGCACCTTTGTAATCTCTTAGCCTAGAGAACTGCTCCAGATGTTCTTGGTGAATCTTTTCTATCACTTTCTTCTTTGCATTCTTGCACTTGTCTATGCTTGTTGTCAAATTGTACCTCTTCTGAATTTCATTGAGCATAGTCCTTGGTCTAAAGTCAGGATCGGTCCTTATGTCATCTTCAAACAGCTTTGCAATCACACCTGCTTTTAGTAGCTTGCAATAACCATCTAACACGCAGCTGTGAACCAAATCAAATGTCTTCACCATCCACTTACTGATGCACTCTTCATATGAGCAATAAATTCTCCAAAGACAGCTTTCTATTGAACACACAGCTCCAGATTTTTCCTTACCCCATCTATCTAACTTGATGTTGCATCCTTCCTTAAGTGCATAATCAACCAAGGCCTCTTTGAAGTCTTCCAAAGACTCAAACACTTGTCTAAACTTCAGCTGACCACTACCTCTTTTGCATCTTACATACTCCTCTCCACCATCTCCTTCATCGTCAAAGTTAGGAGGTGTGTTATGGTAGTCAAAATCTAGGTCTTCATCGCCAAAAGAGGCAGCATTCCTCTCAACTCGCAGCTCTGCATCACACGGCTCCTGAACAACCACATCATGAGGATTCTTTGTTGAATTGACCACAGACAAATCAACAAATCCAGTCCATTTTCCCGCTTCACACATCTTTTGAAAACTCATATCCTCATTACTCAAGCTCTTCCTATCCTTAAAGTCGTCATATGACAGCTTACACCATATCTTCTGCCCATATAATCCCTCCCTCAGCTCAGTTGACATCCTATTAAAAACATCTTCGGGAATGCATTCAATTCGGATCATCTCTTCACTATCGAGATAAGCTAAGTCACCATTGTAATCTTTCACCCAGTATCCACCATGATAGACGTTGAAACATACTTCATAATGGCTGCAAACAACACAAAATTTTAGATTAAAACCTAGCTATTTCCAATCTCACAGACATTTCATCGAACAGTTGGTGGATACAAAAAACAAAGACTTTAAAATCTATAAAATTTGAGCTAATTGAAACATCTAAGTTGTTAAACTACTCTAAAAACAACGAAAACAATATCTAAACCATGTTTTTGTGTGGAATACGACAAGAATCTGAAATTTTAACTCGATTTTGTGTAGAACCATACCTCATTTTCGCAGATTTTGTAGTTTCTACTCGATATCTTCTCTAATCGGCTCGATTCGTCTCTACCACAATTACACCACACACTATTAGGATAGATATTATAAGATTATGTATCTATCAGTTTGGTACAAATATTATCTCAGAGAGATCTAATTAGATCCTCTACTACTTGTATAAATACGAACTCCTATGTGAATAATAATCATAAGTTCATAATACATCTACATGGTATCAGAGCAATTCTGATCCAAAAACCCTAAATTCTTTTTTCTCTTCCGTTGATCCTCTCTTTAACCTAAACACTCCTCTGTTATCTCTGTTATCTCTTATCTCTTATCTCTAATGGCAATTGAACCCTCCTCAGCCGAATTGGCTCCGATCTTCAACGTTTCTGAACCTCACAAAACGTTGATCTCTCTCAACATGGCAAACATAACCAAACTCACACAAAACAACTACATCACATGGCGTCTTCAGATCCGCTCCCTCCTTGAAGCACATGAACTTCACGTCTTCATAAACGATGTTGACCAGACTCCACCATCAACAATCACTGTCAACGATGCTCAACAACCAAACCCGAAGTACACAGCCTGGATTCGCCAAGACAAGCTACTTTTTAGTGCTGTACTCGGGTCACTCACCCTCTCTGTTTAACCACTTGTAGCCAGAACCAACATGACTCGCGAGTTGTGGGAAACACTTCACCGCACGTATGGGAAAGCATCTCATGGCCACATCAAACTCATCAAAGATCAGATCAAAGCTACCACCAAAGGCAACAAATCCATCAATGAATACATGCAAAGTATCATTGACAAATCTGATCAACTTGCCCTGCTTGGAGCTCCGCTTCCACACGAAGATCTCCTTGAACACATCACAAACGGATTAGGAGATGATTACAGAGCAGTCACACAGATGGTTCATGGCCGAGATACGCCAATCTCGATTGAGGAGCTCCATGAAAAGCTCATCAATCGAGAAAACACTCTACGGGCTGCAGCTACAAATGATGTCACTGTTCCGGTAACGGCTAATGCGACCCAATTCAATCAACAATCATCAACGCAGCGTGGTGGTCACAATCAGTCTCGCGGTGGTTATCGGTAGTCGAAACCATATCTTGGAAAGTGCCAAATATGTGGTGTTCAAGGTCACGGAGCCAAACGATGTCCTCAGTACCAACAGTTCACACCAACCTCTCCGTACGCAGCACAACAATATCCGTCTTCATACAAAGGACCAGCTCCGTGGCTTGCTCCGCACCTACCACTTCCACTACCTCAATAGCGTCCGCAAGCTCATCACGCAACAACAAGCAGCCCCTACACGGATGTGAATCCATGGCTCCTTGACAGTGGTGCCTCGCATCATATCGCAAGTGACCTCACAAACCTAGCTCTCTACGCTCCATACAATGGCGGAGAACAAGTCACGATTGGCAATGGCGCTGGCCTTCCAATCACCCACATTGGTTCTGTGTTTCTACCCTCAAATTCTCGAAATCTTCATCTTAAGAATACATTATGTGTTCCCACAATGAAGAAAACTTGATCTCGGTTAACAAATTATGCAAAACTAATAATGTTATGGTTCAACTTTGTCCCTATGATTTTCAGGTGAAGGATCTTCACACGGGGATAACATTTCTCAACGGCAAGGCCAATGAGGGTGTTTACGAGTGGCCGATTACATCCTCTCCAAACACAACTTCCTCTTCCGTCGTTGCATACTCTTGCATTAAGTCTTCTCCTTCGGAATGGCACTCTCGTCTAGGCCATCCGAACTCTCAAACACTTCGTCATATGATTTCTCGTTTTTCCTTACCTATTTCTTCGTCTTTGTCTTCTCATTTATTTTGCAACTCTTGTTCAAGTAATAAAAGTCACAAACTCCCTTTTTCTACATCTACGT